AAAAAAAAAAAAAAAAAGCTAATGCAGCCAGGCGTAATGGCTCAGGCCTATGATCCTAGCACTTTGGAAGGCTGAGCTAAGTGGATTGCTAGAGCTCATGAGTTGGAGACCAGCCTAAGCAAGAGTGAGACCCTGTCTCTATTAAAAATAGAAAAACTAGCCAAGCTTCTTGGTGGACACCTGTAGTACGAGCTACTCAGGAGGCTGAGGCAGGAGGATTGCTTGAGCTCAGGAGTCTCAGGTTGCTGTGAACTATGATGCCACCTCACTCTACCAAGGGTGCCAGAATGAGACTCTGTCTCAAAAAAAAAAAAAGTTAATTCCATCATATCACTCTCTTGCATTTATCACTCTCTCTTCTTTATTCATTCCCCCATGTCCAAAATAAAATACACATTTCCTAGCGTAGCATATGGATTTCTCATAATATGGCTTTGCTTATTTCTCTTGGTTATTTCCCTGTCTTGCTTGTTTTTTGGTTTTCATATACTCTTTTTCTCCAGATATTCTTATAGTTCCCCAGAATATGAGGTTCTCTCACAATTCACGGCTTTGTAAATATTTTTTCCTCCATCCACCTAGAGCTCTATCTATTTGTCAATCTGATGAACTCTTACTTTCCCTTAAAATCCAGCTTAGAGATCAGGGGAGCTGAGCCCTTCCCAGATATGCTCCGAATACTTTGAGAATTGCTTCTAATAGAGACCTGGTATCTAGTCCTCTTTCCTTGAACTAGTGTATGAGCTGTTTAGATCTCTTGCCATTATCTGTATTTAGGGGTTTAGCGCTCTTCCTGGAATATGTTAGTTGTCTGCTAATTGCCTTTGGAATGACTAAATGAATGGTGAGTTTCATGCCTCAACTTGAGTACACTCCCCAGTGGTGGAGACTGATGAAGAACATTACTCCTAGATAGTAACAGGAGGTAATTTGTTTTTCTATTTCAAAATAGAAAAGAAATTAATTCTCTTATCATCTTTCATGGAGAGAATTTTTCAGAAACAAGATCATTTGGGTTCTTTTGTGAATATTTAATAACCAGGTAAAGGTTCATGCTCAGAAGCTTTTATTTATTTAATATGTTTAAACTTAAAAAAAAAATTAGAAAGAAATCCCTTCAACAGAGAAGCAAGTGAAACAAAGCTAAATTTAAAATAAACACCACAAGCATAGATTTCATAATACTTATAAAAAGGCTAGCCATGTCAGAGAAGTTTCCTGGATCAGGAGGGCACAGCTGATTTTGCAATTTAGATTTTTGACTTTGCATGCTGAAACTGTCACCCAGCCATTTCCAGTCTCCATAATGGAACAAAATCAAAGGATTTGCAAAGTCTCAACATTTGTTTGTATGCTTCAAACAATAAAAGTGGCAAAATGGGTTTTGTCACTGTGCATTTTATTATTATTCTGGTAGTCTAATGTTAAAAGTTTCTCTTAATGTTTAGAAACCAGAGACATTTTAGTAAATACCACCAAAAACACCTGCATATAATGTTCACTAATGATGATTTCCTCGATTCAAAACTCAAATTAAGAGGGTGTTGAGAGAGGATGGATGTCATTTCTGTGCTTGTTAACTATATTCAGGTAATTTATGCAAAATACTAAAATTAAAGAAATTTCCCTCATGTTATATTTTTATGATTACAGCTAAAAATCTGCCTACAGACTTTGTAAGAAAGAAGGGGATAAACAAAGTGGCATTATTCAAAATATGTCAAAACATTATGCTACAGGAAGACTTTTATATTGTCTTTAATTCCCTTGTAAGGCTGATGAAAAGGTTTCTTTTTCCTTTACACCATCTTTTCTTAACTTGTTGCTAAAAATATTTGGTTGAGAGCCAGTGTAACATAATTGATGTTGCTGAAAGCATGTGGCTAAGATTGCAGCTTGGCTGGTTAAATCTTAACTCTGTGACTTTGAGCCAGTAACTAAATTTACCCCCTCTCTGTGCTTCAGTTCGTTCATTTGTAAAATGAGGATAACAATAATAGTTCCAACCACAGAGGGTTACTAGGAAGATTAAGAGTCAGAATTTGCAAAACACTTTGCTTGGCACGTGAAGCACTAAAGTATCTGGGGTTATTACGAGAAAAAACAAGAGTAATTTTGTACTTAAGATTCTTCGAAGGGCTATGAACTCAGTATTTGGGCACAGAGGTCCAATAAGCTAATAAAATAATAATTCAATTCAACACATATTTGGTGAATGTCGGTTAATCGCAAAATAGCATGCGGGGTGACAGGAAGTATAAAGGTGAGCAGGTCACTACCACTTCTGTCTTTAAGGAATGAGGGTCTAGTCTCATAGGAAATGATTTGGTAAATTCTCTAGATGGACCAACTTCAGAAAATAAGAGGTTAATTCTGACTGGACCTGAAGGCTTTTGGGAGGATATGTATACAACTGGATCTTAAAAGTTGGGAGAACCTCCGTTAACTAGGATGAGGAAGAGTTTTGTTTTGTTTTGTTTTGTTTTGGAGACAGAGTCTGACTCTGTCACTCTGGGTAGAGTGTCACGGAATCATAGCTCACAGCAATGTCAAACTCCTGGGACTCAGGAGCTCCCATTGCTTCAGTCTCTGGAGTAGCTGGGACTACAGGTGCCCTCCACAACATTCCCCTAATTTTTCTATTTTTAGTAGAGATAGGGTCTCACTCTTGCTCAGGCTCGTCTCAAACTCCTGAGTTTAAGCAATCCATCTGCTTTGGCCTCCCAGAGTGCTGGGATTACTGGTGGGAGCCACCATGCTGGCCCAGGAAGAGGTTTTAAAAAGGTGAGAATAATGGCATGCACTAAGACACAAAAGCTGTAGAATATATTCTGGGAATGGCAAGCACAGTTTATCTTGTTTTCTTGAATTTGAAGAGTGTTTCATAGTTTTCAAAGTGCTTTCCTATAGGTTCCATTATTGGGAAATTAGAGCAATCATAAGGAAGTATATAGGGAAGGAATTCTTTATTGTACGTGTGAAAAAAATGAGGTTTGGGGAAAATAAATGATCTGTACAAAGAGATCAATTAGTAAATTGTGCTTAAGAAATTGTGACGGTGGCTCGGCACCTGTGGCTCAAGTGGCTAAGGCACCAGCCACATACACCTAAGGTGGCAGGTTCAAATCCAGCCTGGGTCCGCCAAACAATAATGATGGCTGCAACCAAAAAATAGCCAGGCATTGTGGCAGAAGCCTGTGGTCCAGCTACTTGGGAGGCAGAGGCAGGAGACTCACTTGAGCCCAGGAGTTGGAGGTTGCTGTGAGCTGTGATGCCACAGCACTCTACCCAGGGGGACGCTTGAGGCTCTGTTTCAAAAAAAAAAAATTATGAAGGTTACTGTGATAATAGTATAAAAAAGGACACCAGGAAGGATGGCAGTTAGCAGGTTACTGACACACTCTAGGTCAAAAAGCATGTAGGGTCTATACCAGGATAAGTTTGGTTGCAATGAGAGGACTTTGCAGATGCAGAAGCCATGTGATTTGGCTTTTGATCAGATGTAAAAAGTAAGAACAAAGAGATATGCTGAAAGATTCAGAAGCCAGTCACATACAAACAAAATCTGACTTGGCTTTCAGCCATGTCAATTAAATCTCTTCAGTGATTTAAAAAATATTACTAATCAAAAATCATATTTGGTCTGTAGTCCCAGCTCCTTGGAGGCTGAGGCAGGAGGATTGCTTGAGTCCAAGAGATTGAGGTTGCTGTTTCTGTTGCTGTGAGTTATGACACCGCAGTACTCTACCCAAGACCAAAGTGAAACTCTGTCTCCAAAAAAAGAAAGATCACATTTGATCCAAAAAGCACCAGTATATACCACCTTAAAAAGAAATGAGATGAAGTAGACAAATGAAGATTTTATGATAGTTTTAGAATATATCCACAAAATCTAATACCCTGTTCATCAAGACACAAAGAAGATTAATTCCCTTGCCCCTTGGATCCTTTGGATGAACTATACTTAATGACTAACTTCTAATGCAGGGGTCCTCAAACTTTTTAAACAGGGGGCCAGTTCACTGTCCCTCAGACCGTTGGAGGGCTGGACTGTGGGAAGAATCCGCTGCTAAGCAGGACAGGCAGCGGTGGCAAAAATACCCGGGCGGGCTGCATGTGGCCTGCTGCCCATAGTTTGAGGACGCCTGTTTTAATGAATGGAATAAGCCCTAAGTTACTTTAATGGACTGGATAACAAAGGGAGGGTTTTGCAGCTTTCTCCTGGCCTTCTCTCTTGGATCTCACACCCTGTGGAAATTTGTCACCTGCCATGTCATAAGAACAGTCAAGCTGCCCGATGGAGAGGCCTATAAGGTGAGAAACTGAGGCCTCCTGCCAAGATTCATGCATGTGGGTTATCTCAGATTGTGCGTACATTTGAAAGAAGATTTTTTTTTTTAAATACAGACACTAAAATTGACCTGGCCTGTAAAGCTACTTTTCTAGGACATGCTAAACGTACAGGATTACAAATAAATTAAAGCTATTTGTTCTAGAAACCCTCGTTTTAGTCCTTCAACTCCCACGCAGTCCAAATACAGCATACCAAAAATAGGTAGGCCTGTCAGATGTGACAACCTCAGATGCTGGAACAGAGGATCAGGTCACAAAACGTGTGTGCAAAGAAAACTGTGGAGCTTCTCAAGTCCACATCTTCCGGGCTGTTACTGTTCAGCCTAGTTGACCTGACTCTCAACTAGCGAGGGCGCCATCTGTCTACAATCCCGCCTCAACACCCCCGCCCCCGCCCCGAGGCGGAGTCACGGCGCATGCGCTGCAGGAGAGTGGGCGGACCCATCCGAGGGGCGACGAGGCGGGGCCTAACGCAGGCTGGGTGGGGTCGGAGCCGGCCGCGCGCGGGCTGGTCGGCTCCGGGGTGAAATGGGCGGGGCCGGTCCGGGGCGGGACCGGGTGCGCGGGAGATTCAAACTTCCGCTTCTTGGCGTTAGCGCGCGCGGAAGTTGTGCTAGCTGTAGTCGTCTTCTGTGCCCGCTGAGGAGATGGTGGAAGGGCCGGGATGCACTCTAAATGGAGAGAAAATTCGGGCGCGTGTGCTCCCAGGTCAGGCGGTGACGGACGTGCGAGGAAGCGCTCTGCAGAGCCTGGGGGGTCGCGCGCCGTCACACGCTGCAGCCTCTGCCCCGGTAAGCTACCTGTGCCTGGCCCCGGGGACAGCTGGGGAAAGGGACCCCACCAGTGTCATGTCTTCGCACTGATCCAGGTACCCTGGGGCCCTGTGTTTCCCAAACATTATCTTCACTTCCGGGGAGGGAGCAGTCGACCCTAGAGCGCCCGCGCGGGACGAAGCTGCCCTCGCGCTGGGCTAAAGATGCGGCCTGAGCAAGGTACCCGGGGGAGAGGGGAGAAGCTTTCGGAGATGTTTTGTTTAGTGTCACCTTGGTTAACTTCTCCATAACTCAACAAGAGATGGTTTCTTTTTTTCTTTCTTTTTTTTTTTAACAGACGTGATAGAGCAATAGTTTATTAGAAAGTAGAAACGCTTCAAATACAATGAAAGGGATCCTGATGGGTTGTCCTAAAAGATGGTTTTTTATGTCCACTGATGCTTTTTCTACTGTTGATATTATCACGTCTCTGCCAACTCTAATGTTTTTTCTTCCTATTTTTCAGATGATAAGCTTTTAGCATAAAATCCTAGCTTCTTGCTTGCCTAATCTTCTGCAGTTGATAAATATATCTACAAATACATGTGGCCATAAAGTCCGTGTGCAATTAAAAAATTGCACCAGAACTTTATGGCCACCTTGTACATAATCCTGAACTCACAGACGGAAAAGTTAGCACTAACTTCTCACTCAACATTGCCGTCTAGTTCAGGGGCAGTGGAACCCAGTCCGTGTGGGTTCCTTTAAGTGAATTTCTTTCTCTAAACGCAAATTGTAGCACAGCTTCTTTGCCGCTCACGCATTCGTTGCACACTGCGTGATATTCATTGGGTAAGAACTTGTGCTAAAAATATTCCAATGAAGTTATTGTGCTTTAAAAGCCCTTTAGATGTGTGAATGATTGTATTTCATGGATAGTCATGATATGCGATTTCAATTTATTCTGTAAAGCTGCCTGGTGGCCCTTGATCCTGGAAGAAAAGGTTGCCTACTGTGAAATTAGCATAGGTTTACAACGTGAAAGAAATGAAGTTCTAAGTCTAAGAAAATACATTTTAAACTTCCAAAAAGAATAGGTTTTATTTTTTTAAGACCCCAAACTTCATAACCAGGGTGAGGAAAGGATAAGTTTTGTATCTCCTTCCAATTGCAATTTTACTTACTTTGACTCACCATGCCAGTATCTATTATTTTTTTATTACGGTGTTTCTCAGTATTTAAGGGTACCACAATAATGGGTTTCAGTTTCTTAAGAACATTAATGTCTATGAAAATCAACTCATTCAACAAAATTTTGAATACTCAAGGCACCTGGGGAGTGGAAACAAATAGCCTTGTGTAGTCTATACTTTGGGAAGACTGCACCCACCTTCCTGAAGTATATGTATGCATGTCTAGACTTAACATCGTTCAAAAATAGCATATTGTGTGTTAGGTTTTTTTGCTAGGTCCTGATGATACAAAGATGAATAACATAAGATTTCTGCCATGAAGATCCAAACTAATTTTTTTTTTTTTTTTTTTTTGAGACAGAGCCTCCAGCTGTCCCCTTGGGTAGAGTGCTGTGGCATCACAGCTCACAGTAACCTCCAATTCCTGGGCTCAAGCGAGTCTCCTGCCTCCGCCTCCCAAGTAGCTGGGACCATAGGCACACAGGCACACAACGCCCAACTGTTTTTTGGTTGCAGCCATCATTGTTGTTTGGCGGGCCTGGGCTGTATTCAAACCCACCACCTTAGGTGTATGTGGCTGGCGCCTTAGCCGCTTGAGCCACAGGCGCTGAGCCCAACCTAATGTTTTAAATAAATATCACCTCATTGGTATTTAAGGAAAATAACAGAAAAACTTCCAGTTAAGTTTGTTATGATTATCTCTGGTGGCAAGGCATGAAATGCTTTTACATTTCATTGAGTCATGAGAAAGAATAACCCTGTGAAAAAGGATTTACTTGATTCTACAGATGAGGGACTCCAAGCTCAGAGTGAGTCTAAGACCAGTAAGGGACTGAAACAGTGTTTGTTCCCTTCTTTGGGACACCAAAGCTTACCCTCTTAGTCATGCTATAGCTCCTTTCAGTAATGAAAGATTCAGTAGGGAAGTGACTGATACAAACAATCCTCAGAATGTACTAGTGCTTGTTTGTTAACTAGAAAAGTATGATCGTGAGGTTTTGGCTGTATCTGCATCCAATTTTAGTTTTGTCCAATGTAGTCAATTTTCTTATCTATGCTGATAACTCTCTTCTAACAGCTGACATTCTCGTGTTCAGATTGCAGAGAAGCATGCAGCCTGATAATATAAATGCCTCATTAATGGTGGGCAATTTTTTTTTAAGCAGTATTATAGAGTTTATTGACAGTGAGAAAGATTGATAAGCAGAAGAGGGAGAACAGAAGCTCTAGCAGTGGAGGGGGTGGATCCAAGTGGGAAGCCCTCCCAGTCTTCAGTCTAGGGGGTTAAATCCGGGTTTTCCTATCTTGTGGGCAGGTGATCTTGGGGAAGTGTTTCACAATTGGCCAGAGGTCTGTGGACAGAAAATGATCCTAAAGCATTCCTAAAATTAGCACAGGAATAGATTTTTGCAGTTTTTGCCTCAGGCAAGGAATTTGGGTGCGTGTTCCCTACTCAGGGAGGAAGCTACCAAATGGTGGACAGTTATTAACATTACTTGTCAGCAGTACCCAATAAGTTGTACTACGCACATACACACCCTGCTTTTAAAGCTGTTGTTTGATACCTTGATAGAAAGAGGTATTAAAAATTGGAAGAGGTCTTTGTGATTAAGGTCAGGAATCTAGTAGTGTGGACACTGGATTTGAAAATCAGTACAGAATGAGTAATCTCTTTTTGGCTGTTGGTAAACTTCTAACTAACTTGCCCTGGCTTCATTTTCTGGACCTTTAAAAAAAAAAAAAGTAATCATTTCTAAATATGAACAGTCTTTTGCATTTTAGGGAGAGGTTGAATCTGTAGTAAGTTTTTTTTAAATATGGGTAGGTTGTCAGAAACCTCTGGCAAGATGATTACTGTAGCAGATGATTCCATGTTTCCTAGGCATTTATGCCAGAGTTAAAGCTATATAAATGTTTCTGCTACTGGCTTGAAATGATTAGTTTTCACAAGGCAGCATTTAAAGATAATTTAATAACTGCATATTATGTTCCTTACCATGCAGTAGACATGAAAAAAATTACAAACAAGACCTGAAGGAATATTAATTGGGCATTTAAAATAAAAAATTTAAACTTTAGATAATCATTGTACCCCCCCCCCAAAAAACCCCCTAAAACCTACCTTTGTGGCTATTGCCACAAGGAAGCAGTTACTCTTATCGGGTAGTACTCCTGTTTGTTCCAGTGTAGATTTCATAGAGAACACACTTTAATATATGTCTCACTGTGACAACTGATCCTCATTTTGAAAAAGAAAGCCTAGCTGTAGAAGATCTCAGCATCTGCTAGTCATGTATGCTTTGTATTATTTCTCTGAATTTTGATCCAATGTCTTGTCAGCATAAAATTATGCATTGTGTAAGTAAATTGCATAAAACTCTGCTGGAGACTATGGAACCTTATGGTAAGAAACAATACTGGAATATAAATGAATGTGTCTGGATAATGAGCTTCAAAGAGTCCATCCTCCGATTTTAATTGTTAGGTAGACACCATATTTTAGGGAAATCATATGTAATATGTATGTGTTTTCAATCTCTTTAACAACATAGGATATGAAACAGTTTGTTTATAAGCATTTCATTTGAAACGTGATCTGGCTGTTCCCATTGCTCCTTAAGATTTGATACATACATTTAATATGCTAGCTACTCTTATTCATCTTTATATATACTTCACAGCCATTTAATAAAAGTTGAATGGCTGGGGAAGAGAAAGTTTTGGGTAGTGCAAAATGATTAAGGCTTTCGAAATAAGTTCTGATAAATTAGTATCTCTTAATATGAGGATTTGTGTGTTTTGTTTGTGCATGTCATGAAGGCATACTGACTACATGAAAATGATGAAACTTCATAATACATATTTTCCTCCTACCTTCTGAGTGGAGAAAAAATTCATAGCTCATTTTATTGCCGTTATTTAAAGGAATGAGCTAATCCATGGAGATTCATTTTCTAGCTAAATGAAGCTCATTCCTTTAAGTATCCAAAGGGTACTAAAGCGTATACAAAAGGTTTTCTAAATAATTTATAGAACATGCATTATATAAAATGGGTATTGATCATGATTTCTCCTAAATGACTCAAGATCATTATCATCAGTAACCAGCATTACATGGAATCATGAAACAAAGATAACAGAGCAGATAACATTTTTTCAGATAAGGAAACTACAGGAGGTGATTTTCCATGGCCATTGTAGTTTTTTATCCAAGTGTGCAGTAGAGAAAAGAAGATCTAATTATCTTGATTTTGAATTCCCATTCCTTTGTTAACCACCCTATCTGGAGATGCCTGTTTGCCCGTCTAAATTTATGTGCTCAGGATTAAATAAAGGAACAAGTAAAACTATTGCTAGTGCCTAACAAAATAACATCCTCATAATTGTTTTTCTCCTAGATCAAAGCTTTCTCACCACGTCCATTTATTTGAGGAACACCCTCTTATTAAGGGTTTGTAGTGATTTGGTGCCTTCAAATGAAGTTAAAAACTGTTTTATTGGGCGGCACCTGTGGCTCAAAGGAGTGGGATTCCCGCCCCGTATACCGGATGTGGTGGGTTCAAACCCGGCCCTGGCCAAAAACTATTAAAAAAAAAAAAAGAACTGTTTTAGTTTTTGGTTAAGTGCTCAAAGGTTCTGCTCTTACAAAATTGTAGAGTATGTTTCTAAGCACCATTTTAAAATTAGGTTATTTGATGATTTAGATAAGTGACCTCCAATTAAGAAAAATGTTGCATTAGGAGGAAAAAGCATGTGGGGAAAATGAGGAAAACTTTTACAATATAGAAGTAAATATGGTATTTTCTCTATTGGGAAAATAAGTAACTGCATTAGAGTTGAAACATTTATCTATGGAAAAGTCTTATTCTGCTCTGGAAAGTTTATCCTCCTCATTTACCCATGGATGGTCAGGATAAATGGAATCAGCAGCATAAATCATGTGCTGTCTCTGAAAATTTATGTTGTTTTGAAGATTTCATATTATTAAGCTGCTTGAAAATGAGAAGGTGAACCCTTCTCAATCAGAATTCTGGCAAGGGAGATTTTCTTGCCTAGTTCAGGGAGAAAAAAGGATGAAATGTTCAGATAATATGGTGTCAGGATTATAAGGGTCAACATGAGAAAGTCAAGTGTATATTGGTCAATTGTGGATAGTTATAGCAAAGATAATAGGCTTGTGGAAATTAATTTTTGAATTTGCCTGGGCAGCAACAGCTTGTAGAAAAAGGTGATAACCCTACATTCTGCAGTACAGTAAGTGAATATCTAGTAATCTTAGGTTGATTGCAAAAGCCTTGCCCAGTTTGTACACAGCAGCTCTCAAAATAAGTGGAAGAAACCATTACTGGTATATCAGAATTTCTCCTTAAGATAGAATTTAAAAAAAAAAAAAACAGTGAAAAATACATGTAGGCACTTGTGATGGCCAATTGTTAAGTTGAAATTTTTATTTTGTCCTATGTATATTATCGAGCTGATTATTCTGGAAATAATTAGCTGACTTGGGTAAAGCATCTTTATAATAGACAACTGAGTAAAGACATCTTTGCATGTTGTTTCCCTCCAAACCAAAGTGAAGTACAGTCTCCCCCCATTATCCTTCGGGGAGCATCCCAAGACCCCCAGTATGCTATAGGGTACAGTATATAATCCTAGGACTCTGGGAGGCTGAGATGGGTGGATTGCTTGAACTCAGGAGTTTGAGACCCCATCTCTACTAAAAATAGAAAGACTAATTGGGTGTGGTGGTAGACGCCTGTAGTCCCAGCTACTCAGGAGGCTGAGGCTGGAGGATTGCTGGAACCCAAGAGTTAGAGGTTGCCATGAGCTATGATGATGCCACAGCACTCTACCCAGGGCAACTAAGACTCTGTTTCAAAAAAAAAAGGATCCCCACCCCCCAGTGCATGCCAGAAACCATACTACCTATATCAAATCTTATATATACTGTGTTTTTCCCTATGCATAGAGACCTATGATAGTTTAATTTATAATTTGGGCACAGTAAGAGATTAACGACAACAATAGCACACAGTTATAACATTACACTATAATAAAAGTTTTATGAATGTGTTTCATCTCTTTCCCTTTCCCTTCCTCCCTCCCAAAATAACTTATTATACTGGTACTTTGGGTAACTGAAGCTGCAGAAAGTGGAACCACAGAGTAAGGGGGGCTACTGTATTGAAATAAATCTTTTTAAAGCAACCATTTAAATGCTAAGTAGCCCTGTCAAATGAAAACCAGGCTCTCTAGAACTGGTTGCTGAATATACATCAGTCCCTTCCTTAACTTTCCCATATAGCTCTTTTTACTTTATGGGAAATTCTGATAAATAAGGTATTTTACTTCTATATAGTTTTGGTAGTTATGAGAATTTGCCCCTTCCATATTTAAATCTTACTCCATTGCAGATGATTAGAAAATAAGAGACTGGACTGTTAATAAATTGTAAAAGAAGATGAAGTAGGAGTTTTTGCTGAGAAATCTTGGGAAGGTCATGCAGGATGGGGATGATAGGTAGGGAGGCAACAGCCTATACTTTAAAGCCACACTCAGTCTTGGGGGGCAATGGGGAAGGGAGGGTAGGGTATGTTGAATTCTACCAATCCTTCTTGAACCACAGATATTATGTAAAGCCCTCTAGGATATTAGCTAAATAGGAGTTCCTGTGCCCAAGGAGCTTATAGACAGATAGGGGAGAAATACAAGTCAGAGACAAATAATAATTTGGTGTAGTAAGTACTATAAGCATGATTAGAAAACACAGTGCTAAGCTTGGCAGGTAGAAAGCTTGACAGTCATTTTGCTGCCCAGGTGGGAAAACCCCAGTACCAGAGAGAATTACAGCCCATCTAGGACAGTAAGGAAGAGGTTATACTAACATCTCATTTTAATTCCTGAAAACCTCCCATCAGGTATTCAAAAACTAATTCTCAAACATATTCAAGCCAAGGTCATATAGCATGTTTAGCTGGTGCAGTTTCTGTTGCACTGAAGTCATTTGATAGTTTCAGGTCGATATTTTTCCATAAGTGAATATTTTTCTACTACTGACATTGTGTTATAATATTCACATTCATCAGGCCATAAAATGCTTTTTTCAACATTTATAAAGACTTTAATTTCATATTGTTTTCATCTTTTCTTTTTTGATGTTATGTTATGTATTGTTAAATGTGGAGAATGGGGTAAAACTCCAATAGAGCAAGTAAGACAGTATTACACCTCTAAGGATTTGGTTTGAGGTTCTGTTTGAGGCTCTGTCAGCCAGGACAATGTATTTCACTTTTCATTGACAGGTGTTTGAGGGTCTACAGTGTGGACATAAAATTTGTGTGCAATTTAGTATGTTAAACCATTTTAAATTGCATAAGAACTTTATGACCACCCTTATGCATTTTTAGTACATTGGCCTTTATATTTTTGGACTCTCCTATACATAACAATTTATAAGGCAATGGACTTTCCTTTGCATTGTTAATAAGTAGGCCAGTAGCCATAAAGTTTTAAAGGGGCATCCACTGAAACTTTCTTTAGCTAAATGGCCAAATTTGCTATAGTTAGATCTTCCTAAAACATCTGATAGTTAACAGTAGATTTGCAGATATAGAAATCTGCTCTATGAAAGCCTTTTCATGCCTTGAAGGGATTAATCTTGGAATTAAAAACTTTTTTTTTTTTTTGAGATAGAATCTCATTATGTTGCCCTCAGTAGAGTGCCATGTCATCACAGCTCACAGCAACCTCAAACTCTTGGGCTTAAGTGATTCTCTTGCCTCAGCCTCCCGAGTAGCTGGGACTACAGGTGCCTGCCACAACACCCGGCTATTGCTGTTGTTGTTGTTGTTGTTGTTGTCATCATTGGTGTTTGGCAGGCCTGGGCTGGGTTCCAACGCGCCAGCCCCAGTGTATGTGGCTAGCACCTTAGACTCTGAACAGGCGCTGAGCCAGAAATAAAAACATTTTGTTTTAAGCCTACCCCTCAGCTTTGGTTATAGGGGATGTTTTAGCTGTGCTTTTCACAAGCCATACCTGGAACCAAATCTCCCAGTACAGGTTCTGTATAATCCTGAGGCAGGGCTGTATAGGTTCAAGGAACTTGGCTAAACTTCTGGAAATGGAAGAATCTATTTCAGATTTTACTTTTAAAACATTCACTTTGTATTCTTGTGTTTTCTTTTCACACAGAGCTATGTGGTCCTGGAAGAAACTCCTCTCAATCGTCTGACAGTTACCTTTGTACTTAATTTTAGGGGGTGCTCTCCTTTTAAATGACTGCATAGTAATTAGACAGATGTATGTGAACAGCTGAGCACGTCACTTGTACTTGACTTGTTGGAGATGATTCTTCTCATTGGAATACACCTGAATATGAAATTATATAAATACACTTAAGAATTAAATTATAATTTTGTTTAGAATTTCTGTTTGCATTTACATGTGTTTATGTATTTTCTACCAGGCTGCTACACTGAATAATAATAAAGATTCCAGCCAGAATTTCTTGAAATTGTTAAATGGATATGTTTACAGCGGAGTAGAAACTTTGGGAAAAGAGCTTTTTATGTACTTTGGACCAAAAGCTTTACGGTAAGAGACACCTGTACACTACATCTTATCTCTCTCCGTTTAAAGGTGCGTAGGTGACATTTCTTGGAGTTTGCCAGGTGTCACATCTAATCATGTAGAAGTACACTATTTGTAAGAGAACTCTGATAAGAGGTTGTGCTTCTATCATGGCAAGCAACAAGCAGAATAAATTGTGATGTCACTATTACTTGGAGGTAGTCAATTTAATTCTTTTTAAAAAATTGATAAGCTAGCACAGCTTCCCAAGATGTATTAGAACAGCATCTTGGTTTTGCTTATTCCCCATACTACCTACTGCACTAGTTTCCCGTCTTGCATTCAGTGACATCAGTTACTTTATATTTCTGACAGACCCTCATTTGGTTTAAATGTATCAGTAGTTTTTTTTTTTTTTTTTTTATATTTTTCAGTCTGCCTTTTTTCTCTGAAGCCTTGAATAGAATTTAGAAACTTATTTACAGAGGGTTTTTTTTTTTTCTTTGAGACAGAATCTCTATGTCGCCCTTAATAGAGGGCCGTGGCATCACAGCAATCTCAAACTCTTGGGCTTAAGTGATTCTCTTGTCTCAGCCTCCCAAGTAGCTGGGGTGACAGGCGCTCGCCAGGACACCCAGCTATTTTTTTATTGTTGTTGTTGTAGTTCTCATTGTTGTTTAGCATACCTAAGCCAGGTTTGAACCCACCAGCCTCCCAGTTAGGGCCGGGGCTCTAACCACTGAGTTACAGGCACCGAGATGTATTTACAGAGTTTTAAAATTTCCCACAGAAATAATAGTTTCTCCACTGTTTCATAGTTCTTATGAAAATTCATGGCTAATACACTGACAAAGAAAGATAAGCAGTTTACTACTGTGGTTGACATAATGATGATATATGTCAAAATTTATGTAATTGCAATGCATGATCACATATTTAATTTTTGCAAGAAAATGAAAATGGTCTGAGTTAATGTGTCTGTTGACTCTCTGTCTTTTGAGTTTAGCCTATGTATTTGCAAACTATAAAGATTGGTACTGCTTCCTTGAATCTTTACAATTTCTTTTTTTTTTTT